TTTAATGCTTGTGGTGTTTAATGTTTCATGGACTTTGCAGGTCTAGCACTGGTGGCCTGATCATCTATTCAGAGGATACTGATATGCAATGTAGCATCTATTGGAGAGATCCCCTTCTGAAGGCAGTAGCCACTGTTAATTCCATATCATCTTGTTTTGAAGTCTGTATCATTTTCACTGGTTTGATGGGTTGGGTTTTATCCTATTTTGTTTTGTTTGATTTTGTTCATCTAAAGGCATGGGCTTCAAAGATAGCAGGATATATTACGGTAACCATCTTGGATTCATTATTGTCTTGTTTTGAAGTCCTTTATTGCATACATTGTCTTATTTTTATTGGTTCTGTTCTGTTCTGTTTGATTTTTACTATGTCTGGAGGTATCTGTAGCTATTTTGAATATAACAACAGTCATTATGGTAAACATTGTTAATTTTGTTTTGTCTTGAAGTCCTGTGTCACTTACACTGGTTTGTTTTTATTGGCTTTATTGTTTTATTTTGCTTGGTTTTATTCTCTTTAAAATAAAAAAAATACATATCAACCAGTTTTTTCAGGGGAGTTTTTGGAGTCTGCTAAGTAGAGTATCATGTCATCTGCAAATAATGATAGTTTAACTTTTTCCTTTCCTATCTTTATTCCTTTTATTTCTTTTGTCTAATTGGTCCAACTAAAGTTTCAGAACTATGTTGAGTAAAGTGGACATCCGTGTCTTGCTCCTTATTTTACCATGAAAGCTTTCAGTTTTTGTCCATTTAGTATGATGTTGACTTATTGGTTTGTCATAGATGTCTTTTATCAGATTGAGATAAAGACTATCTATTACAGTCTTCTGTAGGATTTTTATCATGAATGAGTGCTGAACTTTGTAAAAAGCTTTTTCTGCATTTATTGAGATGATCATATGATTTTTCTCTTTGAGTTTATTAATATTGTGTATCACATTTATTGATTTATGTATGTTGACTCATCCCTGCACCCCTGGGATGAATCCAGCTTGGTCATGGTGTATAATCTTCTTGACAATTTGCTGCATTTTGTATGCCAATAATTTACTGAGGACTTTTGAATCTATGTTTATTAAGGAGATTGCCTGTAGTTCTCTTTCTTAGCTGGCTCCTTCTCTGGTTTTGGTACCAGTGTAATGCTTGCTTCCAGGAGTGAATTTGGGAGTATTGCTTTCCTTTTAACTTCATTATGGAATCTGAGAAGTACTGGTTTTAAGTTTTTTCTAAAATTCAGTAGAGAATCTATCAGGGCCTGGGCTTTTCTTTGTTGGTAGGTTTTTAATTACATCTTCAATTTCATTGATTGCATTGGTTTATTTAGGATTTTTATATCTTGATTGAGCTTTGGTAATTCATATGTATCTAAGAATTTGTCCATTTTATCTGCATTTTCCATCTTATTAGAATTCAAGATCTCAAGGTAGGTAGGTATAGATAATCTAGATTTCTATAGGGTCTTTTGTGATTTCACCCTAACTTGATTTCATTCTTTTTCTTTCTTTTTTTTTTTTTTTATTTAAAGAAAAGGAGACGAAAAAAAAAAATACATGGAGATAAAAAAAAAAAAAGGGTAGAAATAATACAAAATTACAGATAAACAAAAGGTAAGAAATTGCCGGTTGATAAGTTACACATTGTCATCTTCGAAATAGCTGTTCAGGTTACAGAATTAAAGTATTTAGAATGACATTCAAAAAAGTGACCCTACAAACCGTTCTGCTCTATGATCGAACAAAAGCTCAGTAATATGATTATCAGTCCTACACATTTGTTTTACATCTCAAAGAGGGTAAGATTAACCATAACTTGATTTCATTCTTAATGTGATTTCACCCTTAATTTGATTTCATTCTTAATTGTGTGGATTTGAGTATTTCTTTCCTTTGTTATTTTATTTTTTTGTTTGGCTAAGGTTTTGTGAATTTTATTTATCTTTCAAACAACTAACTCTTTAAAAAAATTTTTTAAATAGTAAAATCCAACAGAACAAGTCAGAACAAGCCAATTAAAACAATGCAGCAAAGCTGGTACAGAACTTGAGAGCAGGATACCAGGAAAACAACAATAGCTACCACAGTATGTCTTGCTAGCTTCAGAATAGTTGTGCACTCCATCAGCTATAGCAAAATCAAACACAAAACAAAACACAATAAAACCAATCAAAACAGAATATTGAATAAAGCAAAACATTTCATCAGAACAAAACAAAACACTGAAAACAATACTTAACTTCAAAGACAAGATAGAAGGAAATCTCCCATAATTGCTGTACTGCATACGTCATCCTCCCAAGAGATGCTCACACCGCTGGCCCCAGGCCTGCAATAATCAACCAAAAATACCAAGCATTTAGTTGCTTTATGTACTTTAGTTGCCATCAACATAGCCTGTCCTCTGAACCATCAGGTTGCTTAGAGTGAGTGGGTAGGGGGGTGTGGATAGTGTTTGATTCTCAGCTTGAGTGCCCAGGAGGCTCATGGGAGACACTGACTTTTCTCCTCCTGGAACCCATGTGGTTTGTATGACTTACCAGAAAGGCTGGGTATTTGATTTCTTTATTGGTCCCCCAAGTCCCAGCATGGCCAATTCTCTGGAGATGCTGACTTTTCTCTCCCTGGAACCCACATGGCTTGCATGGCTTACCAGAAAAGCTGGCTTACCTCTTCGATTCATTGATTCTTTGTATTATTTGCTTAGTCTTCAATACATTAATTTCTGGTTAATCTTTGTAATTTCCTCCCTCATAGTAGCTCTTTGCTTAGCTTGCTCTTGTTTATGTAGAAGTTTGAGGTTCAACATTACGTTGTTTATTTGCACTTTCTCAGTTTTCCTGATACGAGTATCCACTGCTATTAACTTTCCTTTTAGGATTGTTTTCATCGTGTCCCATAAGGTTCTATATGTTATATTCTCATCATTTAATGGTAGAAATTAATTTCTTCTTTAATTTCATCTGTGATCCATTGATTGCTGAAGAAGGTGTTATTTAATTTCCACGTGTTTATAAAGTTCTTGTGGTTTCTTTTGCCACTGATTTCCAGTTTCATAACGCTATGATCTGATAATATGCATGGGATAATTTTACTTCCTTTGCATTTAAATATGCATGTTCTATGAGCTAGTATGTGGTCTATCTTGGAGACCGTCCTATGTGTGGCTGAGAAGAATGTGTATTTTGATATTGTGGGGTGGAATACTATGTAGACATCCAGTAAGTATATTTGTTTAAAAGTTTGTTTCAGTTCTAATCTTTCATTGTGTTTCTCACATCTTCATTCATCTCTCTTAATAGGATTTGCTGGCACAATATATCTTGTGTATTAGTATGTTGAATGTTTAAATATGCTTTAGTATTCATCTTCAGCACTTAAGATGAAAATCCTAAAAGAATTTACCTAAAATAATTACCTAAAAGAAATCTCTGTAGTGCACACGTTAGCAGCAGAAATGGTTTCTAGGAACTGGTTATCAATCATCTTTATTTTAATCAGTGCCAAATATTTGCTGAACTTGGAATCTTTTTAAAATGTAAGAAGGTAGAATAATTGAAAGCAATAGCTGCACATAAATAAAGAAAACCAAGAATAGCAAGGATGAAAATGAAGTCCTGCACTGTTGTTGCTGAGAAAACTGCTGAGTATAAGTGTATATATTTGGGTGGAGAGGAAGATCTGGTATCAGTGGCAGCCATGGTAATACATTATGACCAGGCCATTTTTATGACCAGGTCTTTAGACAACTTATTGAATGATATTGCAGCTTATGAATAATCAATCCGATTCTGGATACTTATGTATACAGATTTGCTACAGTTGTGTGACATCAGATGATAAAATGCCACCTGCAGAGGACAAATGGACATTCAACAAGCCTGAGAGGTAATTAGACTAAATGGTTGCTGCTTGCTAAACAATCTTCAAATGAACAATTCTATGGAACAGACATGGCTTTTGGCTCCACCAGTCTGCAATCAACTCTCCATTCCTCTTTCAGTATGTTGATCTATTATCCTGCTGACCAGTAAATTAAAAATCAGATGCAAGTTGGTTTTAATGGTTGGCCAAAAGAAACTATGTAAACCATTATTCTTATACAGATTATCATTTGCACAATTGACAATAACAGCATCTTCTGTTAGTTATCCATCCTTTGTGGATGCTCATGTAAGACTAAAACATCATCCTAATATAGGAAGACGAACCTAAAGGCTTCACTCTGGGAGACCAAATTTACTCATTTTCATTCATTATACTTTTGTTGAGCACCTACTGTGTGTCTTGGATTGAGAATTTAAGGATGAATATGGCTCTCTGCTTCTTACAGTTGAGATAATGGATAAACAGATGATCATCCACAAACAGAAAATATGGTACACACTAGGATATGATGAAGTGAGAACAGGTTTCCAGGGAAGATTTTTGATAGACATCAAAACTACACCACAGCAGCCATATCACTGTCTTGCAGATCAGGAAAATACAAGGAAAGAAATAGTTAAGTGAAACACTGAAGAACACAAATACAGTTACTTAGAATAGGGAAATAGAAGAGAAGAAATTTCAGGTAGAGGGGGCTAAAATACTGCAAAATTCAGGTGGTAAAAAGGGCATGGTATATTTTACAGACTGCAAAAAGTATACCTATTTCTTATCTTAAGGTAATGAAAGGTCAGAGCATGAAGATCTTCAAGTGTCATCTCAATGAGTATGGATTTTATATTGGTGGTTTTAAGGCAACACTGAAGGATTTTATTTTACTTTTTTATTTTGAAGAGAATAAACCAAGCAAAATAAAACAAAATAAAGCAAATCAAAACAAGCCAGTGTAAGTGACACAGGACTTCAAAACAAAACAAAATCAACAATGGTTACCATAATGACTCTTGTTTTATTCAAAATAGCTACAGATGCCCTAAAACATAGCAAAAATCCAACAAAATAGAACAGAATAGAACCGATAAAAACATGACAATGAATGCAATAAAGGACTTCAAAACAAGACAATAATAAATCCAAAATGGGTACTATATCTTGCTATCTTTGAAATAGATGCCCATGTCTTCAGATATAACGAAATCAAACAAAACAAAACAAATAGAATAAAACCCAACCCATCAAACCAATGAAAATGATACAGACTTCAAAACAAGATAATATGGAATTAACAGTGGCTACTGCCTTCAAAAGGGGATCTCCAATAGATGCTACACTGCATACAGTATTCTCTGAATAGATGATCAGGCCACCAGCCCTAGACCTGCAAAGTCAATGAAACACCAAACACCACAAGCATCAAATTGTATTTCATCTCAATAGCTATCATCACAGCCTGTGTTTCTCCAGATCAGCTGGTAGCTTATGGGGATTAGGAGGCATGGTTTGGCTTTTCTTGCTTCCCAGCCCGCATGCCAGAAGAGGCTGGGGTCTGGCTGTCTCCCCACTGGTGGCCCATACATGGTGCTGGTTTGCAGGGATGGCTTACTTCTCTTCCCTCACATTTCATAAATGACATTAATTCATGGGAAAAGGCTGGGGTTCAGCTGTCTCTGCACTGGCAGAGCCTGCACATGTTGCTGGTTGACAGGGCTTACTTGTTAGTGATTCTTGTTCTCCTCCCCCGCAGTCTGAACACAGTGCTGAGTCATGGGAAAAGGCTGGGGTCTGGCTGTCCCCCAGTGCAGGGTTTTAAATAGAAAAGAAAATAATTGAGAATTTATGTTAGAATCTAGAGGCAAATATTCTGACAGAGATATTTTGTAAACATGCACCTGAGGAAATATAGTGGTCTTGAGGTCCCAAATTAAAATTTTCAATGTGGCACATCTTTCTACAGTGAAATTGAGATGAAAAATTTTCTAAGAGACAGCTGGGTATAGTAGCATATGCCTATGATCCCAGCCCTGTAGGAGGCTGAGGCAGATGGACTGCAATTTAGCTATGTAGTGAGACTGTTTGAAAAAGAGAGAAAGAAAGAGAAAAGAAAAGAATAGAAAAGAAATTGGGGATGTAGTTCATTGCAAATCCTCTGGTTTCAACAAAAAAATATGTCCATAATCATTTTAAGATGTATCAAATCATGTTTTCATTTTTGAAAGTATTACATATTCGGAATTGTGTGGGCCAAATAATGCAATTCTGTGGAAAGAAAAGGTCATGTTACTCAATATCACATAAGAGTACTGACCCCTAAGTACCTAAAAAGGACATTAGACACTTTGGAGGCTATCACAGTTGTCAAATTTCACCAATTGTTTTCTTTAGAATCAAATATTACCTGATATATAATAAATAAGCCCTACATTTATACGGAATTCATACACTTCAGGTGTCAAATGTCCCCCAAAGGCCCATGTATTAAAGGCTTGGTTTGTGGTGCTGTTGTGAAGTAGTAGAGGGAGTGAGGGCTCTGGGTAGTCTCTAGGTCCTTGGGGGCTCGCCCTGCCAAGGGAAGCTTAGAACCCTGGTCCTTCCGTCTCTCCTCTCTTTGTCCCCTGGCCTGTGATGTAAGTGGTGGTCCACTGCATCTGTCTCCTGTGATGTGTTGTTTGTCACAGGCCGACACCAAAAAGGCCAACTAATCTCCAAAACTACACATCAAAATAGTTTCTTTTGATCAGCTTATTATCTCAGGTATTAGGTTATAGTAACAGAAAGCTAACTAATACAGGTGTTTATACAACTTCCAGGAAAAATTAGTGAGAAATTGTGGTTGAAATCAGTGTGGTTGGACCTGAATGAGGAATTAGGTGTGCCGTAAATGTGAACGATGTGAAATGAGAAGGACTGAGTAGATTAAAAAAAATGAATAGGAAGAGATGGGGTGGTGGTGATGGGGCTATTGACGGTCCACAATTTTCTTCTCATGACTGTGACTGTAGAAAGAACATTTTAAAACTTTCTGTAATGCACACAAAAGATAAAGCTAGACCTGGATTTGTGATTTGTGAGGGCCAACATAAGGACTGGAAAAGTCTTATATGGGTACACCTAATCATCAATAGCATTTAAATATTAAGACATAACTGTAATTCATGTAATAATGTATAATTCAAAAAACATTTTAGTTTTAAGAAAAAAAGTATAGATGTTATCTTAGTTATTTTTTATTGGTCACTGAGACAAAATACCTGATATCCAAAGTTGGGAAAGGAAAGGTTTATTTCTTACAGTTTTTGGAGGTTCAGTCCATACTAAGATGGCTCCAAGGCAGGCTGGCATGGCAGAGCTGCAGTTCATGGTGGCTGCAAACAGCAAGCGGGAAACTGGCAAGAGAGCAAGACACATCTTCTTTCATTACATCACATCCTGGCTCCAGCCCTAGCACTGACCATCAATCCAAGCACTATACAATGAACCAATCACAGTGCATAATGTAAATGCATGAGGCCTGGGGGCCACCAACATAAACCATGACATTCCACCCCTGGACCCCAGGACTCATGTACATCCTTTATACAAAAGACATTTAGTGCATCACCAAGAGTTGCCAAAGTCCTAACAGTTTCAGCATTGCTGAGAAGTCCAAGTCCCAAGTCCAAGATCTATGGCAAACTCTTAACTGTAACCCCTTGTACAAATGAAACAAGTTTAAACATTTCTGAAATGCAAAGCTACAAGATAAACATTACCATTCCAAAAGTTAAAAACAGGGGAATATAAAGCATTGGAAACAAAGCAAGTCCAACATCTAGCAGGACGAACATTAAGTCCTAGAGTTCCAAGCTCAGCATCTGAAGCAATCTGGTTGCAAGCTCCAAAAGGCTTGGGTGATTCCACCCCCATGGCATTTACAGGGATTTTAGCTCCCACATAGTCTCTCTTAAACCCTCTCTGCTTGCTTTTTGCAGCTTTCTTTGGATGATCCACTTTCCTGGCTTTTCCAAATTTCTGACATCTCCACTGCACCTTTGACTTCAACCTTACATCTTCACAAATTGCCCTCTCAGGGGCACAGTGCTTGGCCTCCAAGGCCCTTTGCAATCAAGGTGGAAGCTGTCTTACCCTAAGAATTTGTGCATTTTCCTTGCACCTAAAATCAGCACCATGTGGATGCCACCAAGGTTTGCTGCCATTTGGAGCAGTAGCCAGGCTTTTTTCTCTCTTGGCTGTAGGGGCTGATTGCCTGGACTGCTGGCCTCTGTGAACCTGATTGTGAAGAAAAGCTTCTCTATGTTGCTGCCATTCTAGAACCTCATATGGACTCCATTGCCATCCTGGAGCATGGTGCTCTGCAGCTTTCTCCTCTGAGCAAATTCTTTCACTTTTGCAGTTATGAGGCTGCAAAGGGTGGGACCCGCTGCTTCTTGGGATCCCCTGGGGCCATTTTCTTATCTCCCTATTTCTCCTCAGCAGTCAAAGTCTCAATTCTGTCTTTACAATCCACAGCTTTCCTGGAATTTTCCTTGTAGCCAAACTCACAGTATTGTAAATTATCCTGCTGGGCTCTTTACTCTTGATTTGCAACATAAAGCTGGCTAAAAGCCCCCAACAATAACCATGCCACAGTCTCAACAGTCAACTGCTTTGAAATTTCCTTTTCCGATTAATCACTCCATTGCCTTTTGTCTCAGTCTCAGGCAAAGTCTCTGGGCATAAGCAAAATGCAGACAAACTTTCTGCTAAACCATAACACACATTGTGGGGAGTCCAACAACCAATGCAGTCCTTCCCAACAGAAATCTCCCAAGCATGATCTTTTACCATCAGGCTTTTTATCAGCCTTCTGGTCTCCTGAGCTCTGACCAGAATCTCCTCTACAGAACAATCTAAGCTGCTCCAGCTCTATGCGTCCAGGCAACATGTCCAAACTTTTTCAAACTCTGCCCACAAGCCATTTCCAAGGCCTCTCAAAAAACACAGTCAGGTATAGTCACAGCAACAACCCCACTCCTGGTACCAAAATATGTCTTAGTTATTTTTTACTGGTCACTGAGATAAAATATCTGAAGCCCAAAGTTGGGAAAGGAAAGGTTTATTTCTTACAGTTTTTGGAGGTTTCAGTCCGTACTCAGTTGGCTCCAAGGCAGGGTGACATGGCAGAGGCGCAGTTCATGGTGGCTGCAAACAGCAAGTGGGAAACTAGCAAGAGAGCAAGACACACCTTCTTCCTGCCATTATATACCATCCTGGCTCCACCCCCATGTGAATGTAGCACTGGACCATCAATCTAAGCACTATACAATGAACCAATCACAATGCATAATGTAAATGCATGAGGCCTGGGAGCCATTGACATAAACCATGACAGATGTCATAAATGTTAGTATTCCACTTTTTGTGAGTGATGAATTTGTAACAGGAAACTTGTATTTTTATACTACATGCAAAGCATCACAGTAAATAGAATGCTGGTTACACATCTGTACTCTTATAAAAAGTATAGGTATGAAAATATTATACCAAGTAAATTTTTTACTAAATGCAGGCTACTATTTGCTTTGGTTATTTTCCTTGTATTTTAGTTACAAGAGTGTTGTAGACAAGGAAGAATATTTTTGTGGAGACCACGAGATACTTAATAGATATTGGTCACCACTAATAATGCCGGTAATGCACCTTGCACCCAGAACATTTGCCTTTGAGATTATTATTCTAGATGCCTTTTTAATTGCTACCATTGGATATACTTTGTTTAGTTTTAACTCTGTTTTATGTATCTAAGGGGCTCTTTTTAATTTTTTTTCAGTAGCCCATATTATGCTTATATTTAACAAGGAGTCTAAGTATGGAGAATGAAGAATTTTTAAATGGAGATCTGGAGACTCACAGTTTCCGACTGGTGACCTCCCACTGCCTTTGCTGTCAGCACAAAAAGGGATTAACTTTAATGTAATTTTTGAGTTAATTAGATGAACAATAACAAAACCATTGTATATGCACAAAAAAGCCACCTCATTTTAAGAAAGCCAGATAAATTCATGAAATCAAATTGCTTCAGGAAAGGTATACTTATATTACAAAAACCAGCAAAATTTTTCAGTGATGAAATTTTCTGTTGAATTTAAAATTTGAGGTTGGCATTTAAAATTTTAAATTTAGTCAGATCAAAGTAAAATGCATTAGTTTTGTATGTGAATAGCCTTCTTTGCATCCGATAGCTTTTGCAGCTCTCAATGATCATTACTAATTTCATCTTTTACTAACTATGCATACTATCTCTGACATAGGGAAAAGTCAGAAAGGTGCAGTGACCTGTCCAGGTCACAACCTAGTTAGAGTGTAGGACCTGTACTTTTGTCTTAGTCAATTTATTATCTCTGAGATTCAATACCAAATACCTGAAGCTTAAATGAGAGGTCTATTTTGGCTCATGGTTACAGTCCTCTGTCCGCTGGCTTCAAGGCAGAACTTGCATGGTGGGGCCTGCGAAGAGGACAGCTGCTCAGGTCACAGCTGCTCATGTCTCTGGGAAGCAGAGAGAGAAGGGAAGAGTCAGGAAGGCAGATATATCCCTCTAAGTCATGCTCCCACCTTACTGCACCAGGCCCCATCTCCCAACAGTAAATTCAGATGCTGAACTCACCAGTAGATAAAGCCACCAATGAGTACAGGTACCCCATGATACAATCACACTTCAAAGCCCCACTTCTGAGTGCATGATGGTTTCTGGGGACATTTTACACTCAGCCATGATGACTTCTATGCCAGCATCACTTTTATGAAGCATCATTCTTGGAATGTTTTTGTTTTTATTTAATTTAGTAGGGGTATGTGGCTATTGCAAATTATTTTGGACATCCTGCTTATTAAAATATTGTTGCATTTATTGCAGATTTTGGAAGTATATCTTTTAAATTAAAAAATAACGAACATTTTATATTACATTTTCAAATAACTTCCTTATTTGAAAATTAAGCAAATCTATGATATCACATATATTAAATTTAGGATAGATGCCACTCTTCTTAATAAGTTAGTGAATATTCAGTTGATATTTCATTCTACATTCTGGAATACAATTTGATATTACTTCTCTGTAATTAAAACTATTCACTCATCAATTTGTGTCATGACCATTGATGTCTTTTGAGAAAATATTATAAGTATGACTTTGATGGAATGGTTTAAAGAAATATGCATAACACATAAGCAGAATAAAATTTATGCTCAGCATCATTTTGATTTAATAAGGGCAGAATCTAATTTCAATCCATCAAGAACAAAAAAGGATGGAGCTATGCAAACACATTAGGCATTCAGGTGATGGGACTTCAATATTAGCCCATTAAATGCAATAAATTATAAAACTCTATTTATCCGGGATTTTACACAAAGCTGGTACTCAATAATGCTGGCTGGTCAACTGACTTTGATAACTTATTGACTTGCCTGGCTTATTCCTTTTCTGTTTTTTTCTATTTGCTGCCTGGTGAATCCATGGTTTATCAACCAGTTTCCAGATTCAGGATAGGCTTTTCCTTTGAAATAATTTTCTTGCTGTTTTTTTTTTTCTTTTTTCATTTTTTAAGATGTTCTGAAAAGGGTATTATGGGTAAGCAGGAGAAATGGCAAACTGCCTGTATGGCTGCCGGTCCCAGTGCCTCAGTACAAGGCAGAGCAGAACAAGTCCAGACATCGGATTATTAGTGACACATTTGCCATCCCAGGGGAACTGGGCGGAAGCGATTCACTCAAAGAAGGTGGAGTAACTGGTGTTACTCAAACTTTTACTCTGCTGGATCTCCCAGCCCTTGGGTCCTTCTATTTTATTGTGGTTCTAAAAGTCAAACCCGAAGTCACAGACATGAAAGCATGTATTTTAAAACTAAGTTAAATTCCCATCCCTGTTTGGTCCTATGAGCTTTGTGAAGTCTGGCCACTTTTCCAGCCTTCTATCCTTCAGCTTCCTGTAAGACTGAGGCTATGCTGAGATGGTAACCTATTTTCTTTCTTTCTTTGGTGGTACTGGGGTTGAACTCAGGGCCTTTTGCATGCCAAGCAAGCACTCTACCACTGAGCTACATTCCCAGCCCTTAGTAGCTCATTTTCTAAAAAGTCTCCAAGCTCCACTAACAATATGGTGTTAATTTAATGTTAATTACTCTGATTTCATCATTATACATTGTATACATGTATTGAATTATTATACTTTAGTCCATAAACTTGTAAATTAAAATAAGAAAAATATAACTTCAAAAGGTACTTTGCCAGCTAGTCATTGAAAGAGAAATTAAAGCAATTTGTACCAATTAAAGCAATCTATGCACTAATCTTTGTCTCTTTTTTTATGAGTATATGTTTACAATACATGATGAATACATTACTCATGGTAAATTGGTATATACATATATCAAATCTTGTTCCCTTTTATTGCCTCTTCCCCCTCCCTCCAGGCTCTCTCTCCGATCCCCTTCCTATCTACACAAAGTCTATCTCCTGTTTCATATCACCTTTTATTTTGCTCCTAAATTATTTATACTTTTGATTTTGCATGTAAGAGAATCATGTGTTATTTAACTTTCTGTGTCTCTCTTATTTTACTTATGGCCTTAAGGAGCACCATTTTCCAATAAATGACTCAAACTTATTCATTATGGCTGGATGGTACTCCACTGCGTACATAAACTACACTTTCTTTATTCACTCATCTGTTTTGAATGTGTAGGTCGCTTCCAAAATTTAGCTATTCTTAGCTGTGCTGCTATAAACATGGGTATGCAAGTATAACTATGATATAATGGCCTTAATTCTTTCAGGAAGATACCCAGAAGAGGTACACCTAGGTCAAATGGAAATGTTATTTTTAGTTTCCTGAGGAATTTCAGTACTCATTTCCATAATGATTGCACTAGTTTGCATTTCCATTTTTTCCCCTCACAACCTCACCAGTATTTTTTTTTTTTTGAATTTGTGATGATAACCATTCTTTCTGGAGTAAATGGAATCTCAGAGTTGTCAACTTGCATTTCTCTACTGGCTAAATATACTGGCAGTGAACTAAGCTTTATTAGGGTAGCTAAGTATCAGAAAATGAGTTTTATATTAAAAATTAATCTATAATAACATAATTTTTTAACAGTAAAGATATGTTTGAGTCAATAGTTTTTTGGCAGAGTTTATTCTTTCTTATACAGATCTTTCTTCAATTTTCAAATAGTTTTATTGTTAGAGAAAAAGTCACTCAAGTTGTTTTTGTTCTACTGTATCCCACATCTGTAACTACATATTTATCAGCAATTACTAACTCTGAATGAAATTTCATCCCTACTGAATGACTTGAGTCATCTTTGAGTCTTTTTTCAATTTACTGATGAAGTAAACAAGTTTTGCCAGTGCATGCATTTCCAGTAACCAACCTTTTAAGCAATGGTAGGCTCCCAACACAACTGCGATGCCTTAGGACTGCTGCTGCCTCTTGCCAAGTTGCTGACTATGGTTTGGTTCAAAATGGCAGACATCTAGGTCTTTTGATGAGTGACAAACAAGGTACTAAAATAAAACAAAACAATTAACTATGGAGTGGTGCCATGCTTAGTCGAGTTTAGCTTGTACTTGACAGCCCTGTAAATGACTAAGATGCCAAGTGGTTTACTCAGGAGAATCTCAATAACTTAATTTTTACCTATTTTCTCAGATATTAATGAAGTATAACAAATGTTGTGAGATTTACATTAGTAAGACAGTAAAGGCAGTTTCTGTGTTGGAGGGCTGGGTGGCTCTGGGCAAGTTTCAGAACTTTTTGAAGTTGCACCCTTCATATCTACTTCATGTGTCTGATGTGTGTGATTCCTGGATAGGATGTATCTCTCACATACCCCATATTGGTACAAAATTACAGCAATTTGGCTCTAAATCCTATCGTCATTTTTATTGCTATTTGTAAACAGTCAATAATTCTACAGTTTTTTTTGGAGGGGTTTCTCATGTAAGAGAAACTAAGCTATGTGTCTGGTTTATTTTACTTACCATTATAGTTTTAAGGTGCATTTATTTTCTTTCAAATGACTAGCTTATCCTTTATGGTAGAGTAGTACTCCATTGTATATAAATACCACAAGATCTAAGAAAAAAACTAAAATAAAAAGAAAACTATCTAGTAGAAAACAAAAAAAAAAAAGATCCTAAAGTTAGCATGATAGAGTAAGTATAGAGCTATTGTCAAGAAGTTGTGAAATTAAATAAATATGAAGGGATATTTGCTGTATTAGGTATTATAAGTTCTTATATGATAACTATAATAAAAATAATATAAATATTGGGTGAGAAAATTATCTAATCAATGATACAGAACAGAAAGCACAGAAACTGATTCAAATAGTCTTTGGAGTAAGAACTTAGTATATGAGATTCTGACATTTCAATCTGGTTGGCAAACAGAAGAGAATTATCTCATAACCAGCTAAAACAATGGACAGAGAATGTTCCCTGGGAGAAAAGAAGCTTAGAACAAATACAAAGAGAAATGTCCTCTGGATCAGTGAAGGAGGGAGGAGGAAGGAAGGAAGCAGGTCATGAATAACGTTAGAGCAGGTTATAGGTCTTTATGTACAAGGCAGTAAAACCCAAAAGCCATTAAAAATGGATAGATTTGACTGCATAAAATCCTTTTATTTTTTCCATCAGTAACATTTACAGTTATTTGGTCTTAAGGTTACCTTAATTAAGTAAGCACATGTACTTACCTTCATAAGAATGAAGCCAGACACGTAAAACAATATTTGAGATGGTTTTAAATGTCTGACAAGAGTTTCTTTTTAAATAATACTGATGACAAATACCTCAATATCTTTAGTGGTGATTTACCTTATTTTTCAAATTCATAAGTAAAATTGTGTAGAATATTGATGTTTTAAACTACATATACATTGTTCAATGTCTAAATAAAAGTAATTAATCTATACATCAACTTCAGTAGTTATTTTTGTGATGAGGTACTCAATATCTACTCACTTAACAAATTTTAGGGATATAGTATATCATTACTTTTTTTTTTTACAAATCCATTTTACTTCAAGGAGAAAAAGAAAAATAAAAGAAGAAAAAAATAAACAATTTTAAAACATGTCAATCAGAGGACAACAGCAGTACATACATTGCTCATTGTCATCTCCAAATCATTCACCCAGAGCACACCTGCACTCAGTTGTCTGAACAATACCAGCACAAATCTTTCTTTTCAGTGAATTCAGAGAAATTAGTAGGATAACTGTCTTAACTATTTAAAAAATATACATGCACACATATTGTTTCTTTCACCTCACAGTAATGAGAAAATATGATGTTCACACATATGTCTTATTTATTTCACTATTGAGTATGGTCTCAAGTTGCATCCATTTCCCTATAAACTCTTCAGCTTAGCCTTCTTTATGGCTGAGTAGTACTCAGTTGTATAAAAATACCACATCATTTTTATCCATTCTTCAGTCAATGGGCATTTAGGTTATTTCCAAGATCTGGCTATTACAACGTGTGCTACTATAAACATGGTGCACATACATCACTGTGGTATGATGTTTTTAATTCTTTTGGGAAGATATGGAGAAGGGGAATAGCTAAGTCAAATGGGACCTCTAGTCCTAATATTTTGAAGAATCTTCACACTGATTTCCACAGTGGTTGTACCAGTCTGCATTCCCACTAACAACGGAGAAGGGTTCCTTTTTTCTTACAGCCCTTCTAGCATTTTGGTATTGCTTAATTTCTAGATAATAGAATTAAATCTTTCCTGGGTGAGGTGGAATTTCAGTGTTATTTTAATTGGCATTTGTTGAAGGACCAAAAATGATGAACATTTTTTCACATATTTATTGGTTCTTTGTATTTCTTCACCTGAGAAGTATGTATTCATCTCAGATGCCCATTTTTGGATTGGGTCTTTAAATTTGGGAGGATGTTTTTGAGTTTTTTATTGTTCTCGATATAATCCTTTGTCTGCAGAACAGCTGGCAAACATTTTCTCCCACATCACGGGACATCTTCACTGTGTTGGTGGTTTCTCCTGCTTACAAAAGCCTTTTAATACGATGAGATTCCAGTTGTTGGTTCCTTGTGACAGTTCCTGTGTAACTGGGGTTTTGTTCACAAAATCTCTGCCTATTCCAATGTCTTCAAGAGTTTTATCTACCTTCCAGCAGATCTAATGTTTCTATTTTAATAGTAAGGTCTTTGATCCATTCTGATTTTAGCCAAGTACCTGGTGAAAGCTATGGGTTCAGTTTTAATATTTGTATATGTAGAGCCAGTTTTTACACCACCACTTATTAAAGAGGACATCTCTCCTCTAGTGAATGTGTTTGCCACCTTTGCTAAAGATTAAGGTGGCTTAGTGTGTCAGCAGTTATTTCTGAATCTTCTAATCTGCTCCATTGATCTTTGGGTTATTTTTTTTTTTTTTGGCCAGTACCACCCCTTTTTTTATGACAGTAGCTTTATACTATAATTTCAAGTCAGAGATGCACCCTGTCTTGTCTTTGCCTTCACTCTTGTAGGTCTCTTCTGGCTCCAGATGAATTTTAGGATTGTTTTCTCTAATTCCATGAGATATGCTAATGGGATTTTGATTGGTATTGCAACAAATCTGTATAATAGTTTTGGAAGTGTCACTATTTTCATGATACTGGTTTTTCCTCCCAAGAGCAAGGGATATCGCTCTATTATCTAATATCCTTTTTCAATCTCCTTTTTCAGAATACTGTAGCTTTCAGTGTAGAATTCTTTTATATCCTTTTTAAACTGACTGCTAGGCATTTCATTTTTTATTGGTGCTATTGTAAAAGGCATCAAAATTTTTCTCTCAGTGAGTTTGTTATTCATGTACAGAGAGGCTATTGATTTTTGAGTGTTGACTTTGTAGGCAGCTACGTTACTGAATTTGCTTATTAAATCTACTAGTCTTTTGGTGGAGCTTTTTGGTTCTTCTAAGTAGAGTATCATGTCATCTGCAAATAATGGTAGTTTAACTTCTTCCTTTCCTTTATTCCTTTTTTTTCTTTCTCTTGTCCAATTGCTCCAACTAAAGTTTCCAGGACTATGTTGAGTAAGAATGGAGACAGCAGACGTCCCTGTCTTGTTCCTGATTTCAGAGTGAAAACTTTCAGTTTTTGTCCATTTATTATGATATGACGGTTGGTTTGTCATAGATGACTTTTATTAGATTGAGATAAAGACTATCTAATCCAATTTTCTGTAGGATTTTTATCATGAATGGGTGCTGGACTTTGTCAAAAGCGTTTGCTGCCTCTATTGTGATGACCATATGATTTTCTCTTTGGCTCTGTTAATATCATGTATTACATTTATGTAAGTTGAACTATCCCTACAACTCTGAGATGAATCCCACTTGATCATAGTGTGTAATCCTCTTGACAATTTGCTGCAGTCTGTTTGAAAGTATCTTATTAAGGATTTTTGCATCAATATTCATAAGGGAAATTGGCTGATAATTCCTTCTTACTTGGGTCCTTCTCTAGTTTTGATACCAGTGTAATGCTTGCTTCCAGGGATGAATTTGAGAGTATTGCTTCCCTTTAAATTTTATTAAAGAGTTTGAGAAGTAGTGGTGTTAGGTCTGCTCTAAATTTCTCATAGAATTCGGCAAAGAATTTATCAGGGCCTGGGCTTTTTCTTTATTGATAGGTTTTTAATTACATCTTCAATTTCATTCATTGATATTGGGTTATTTAGGATTTTTATATCTTCTTGGTTGAGCTTTGATAATTCATATGTGTATAGGAATCTGCCATTTCTTCTGCATTTTTCATCTTATTAGAATGTTCAAAGTAGGTATAGATGATCTTATGGATTTCTGCAGCTTCTGTTGTAATTTTACCCTTTTAATTCCTAAAACGAATTTGAGTGTTTTATTTCCTTTTTTAAATACGTTTGGCTATTTTAGTTAATCTTTTAAACAATCAGCTCTTCAATTCATTTTTTTTTGTATTGTTTTTAGTCTCCAGTATGTTCATTTCTGCTCTGATCTTTATAACTTTCTCTCTTGTACAAGTTTTTGGCGTAGCCTGCTCTTCTTTTTTTATAAGTTTGAGATTCAACATTAAGTAGTTTATATGCCTTTGATCTATTTTCCTGATATGGATATTTACTGCTATAATTTCCCCTCTTAAGACTACTTTCCTTGTGTTCAACAAACTCCAGTATGTTGTATTATCATTACCATTCAACTGTAAAAACTGTCTAATTACTTCTTTAATTCATCTGTGACCCATTGGTTTTTTGGTAGGGTACTATTTAATTGCCATGTGTATATGATGTTCATGTGGTTCCCTTTGCTTGGATTTCATTGTACTTTAGTCTGGTAGTATGCAAGGGATAATTTCAATTCCTTTGCATTTAGTTTAGCAGGTTCTATGAGTCAGTGTATGGTCTGTTTTGGAGAATGTTCTGTGTGCAGCTGAAAAGATTGTGTACTTATCTCTGTAGTTATCTGAGAGATTATTTATGATTTCATTTTTTTCCAGAGCCTCATTACA